AAAGCATCTCACAGAAAAAACTTTGTTATGACCTCAAGAAACTGAATTCATTTAAAGCAAAGGATTTACTTCCTCCTATCATAAGGCAAATTTAGCAATACTCAAACACTAGGTTTGAACTCCATTTCAATACAATTAATCCTCACACTTATTTGATCCTAAGCATGATTTCAACCTTAAAATTAGCAGCATGGTTTGCAATCTGTTACTGAAAGAGAAACCCCTTTTAGTTAAAGTAGTCTGCTTCCTCTTGACAACTATGAAAAAAAAGCAAAATTCACTCTTTTAGAGTTCCTCCTCACCTTCTTAGTTCTACATGTACTGGAAAAGCAGATACTACTATGAACTTGACCACCAAGACAGGCTGGGTCAAAATCCAGCAACCAGAGATCATGTACAGCTGCTGAATATCCTCCCATTTTCTTAAAGATCTCTATGGAAGGGAGGGAACAACAAGCAAAAAGACTGTTGAAATAAAAATAGCTAATAATTAAGCAGGGGATCAGGAGCAGCTACTCAACTACTCCTCCTAGGAAAATCCAATACTTATGCCATCTGTCAAAAAAGGCCAAAGTTTTAACAGCCATCACAAAAAGCAATAGCTGACTTTAAGTGAAAACAACAAATAAAATTGGTAATTTTAGTCAATGTTTTTTCCGCAACCCAGAAATCCCATAATGCTAATGAATAACAGATAAGCCCCTAAAAAACAGGATTGCAACATCCCCAAATAAACGGGCTTGTTTAGGCCCTGACAGCAGTGCTGATCTGGGAACAACACATGCAATACATGAAAGAATAAACTGAAACCTTCAGACCAGATGCAGTCACGAGTTTTTGTCCCCGGGGTGTAGAGGAAGTTAGTTGAGTGTTAGTGAAACGTGCTGTGCTGGGCAGGAGTCCTGCAGGATTGTTAGACACAGGACAGGGTAGAGGACACCAGCCTCAACAGAGGCTTTCAAGTTACTGCATTCCTCCTAAAAAGTCTAGTTGCCACCACTGTCAAAGTTTCACTCCTTCCCAAAAATCACAGATCTCAAACATTATACCTCCCAAAATGAAACAAACTCCCATATATATGCCTGCCCAAATACGAGCAACAAGCAGTTTAGAGTGCACTGGAGTGTGAAGAAGCAGGGAAGATCATGTTTTTCTATGTATCATTAAAGATTCACAAATTTCTTAAAGCAAGATAAAACAACTGGAGAATAGAGGTAAAATTTTATTAAACATTATCTATGTTGGACTCTTTAAAAAGTACTAGAGATGTAAAGTGTTTAAGCTTATTTTTATATGTGTATTATATATACTTTTACAATAAAAGTTAAAAAACCAAAAGGCATAATAGTCCCCACTTTCCAGTTTCTTTCAACTGAATACTTATATAAAGACATTCTCACTTTATAAATGTTATCTGGGTGCAATAATAAAATCTGAAGCTTCATTTTCATATTCCCCATCAGTCCCAAAAGTTAGTATTAATCCCTATGGTCCTATGATATAGTCGTTATTTAAAGAATGATCAGTTGTTATATAAAACCTGGCTCATTAATTTAATTCTCCAGATCCAAACAACAGACATCATATTATACAGTTGATCCTAAGTAACTTGAGAAATATGCTTGTAAGAAGTGATAAAGCATTTCAGAAAGACCTTGACAATGTTTTTCCTTTCTAGTTGCTGGAATTCTTACAATACCTCAAAACACCATCTTTAGGGCATTAGGCCCTTGCCAGCCTTTCATTCAGAGCTGAATTTTTATTAATTTTTCTAGCTGAGATTTATTAACCCTGAAATATACAAATGCTAAAAAGACAGTCCACCTGTTGCCTCCAGGCCTCAAAGAAATTCCTCCCAAAGCCTTCCAAAGACTATCTAGGAGGCAGGCAGCTGCTCTATGTTGGGAGAAACTAAAGCACCCTGAGTTGGGCCCACTTTTGCCCCAGAGTCTGGCCAAGTGGTGGGAAACACAGTTATGGGAGGAAGGAAGGAGTGAAAGCCAGAATAACAGCAAAATAGATTGCTCTTAATCTAGGAAGTTTTTAAAACATATCTTGTAAAATGGACTATATACCTTCCTGAAGGTTCCATATTAACTGGCAGAAACTAAAATGGACAAATCAGAGAAGTTCAATCCCTTCCTAGTTAAATCATTCCACCTGCATCAATGACATACAGTGACTGCCTACCTTGGCTCTAATATAACTAAGGAATTCTGTAGCCAACCACAACAATGTGCTATGATACACTGCAACCTAAGTTTTACTGTTTGGTGTTCTCATCAAATTAAGGTTTACCTGACAGCAGTAAAAATAAATAAATAAATAAATAAATAAATAAATAAATAATCAAGTCAAATGCTGGACACTGGGCTACATAATGATTTTCTTTTTCTTTTTTTTAAAAAAAATATATTTTATTGATTTTTTTTTTACAGAGAGGGAGAGAGATAGAAAGCTAGAAACATCAATGAAAGAGAAACATCGACCAGCTGCCTCTTGCACACCCCCTACCGGGGAAGTGCCCGCAACCAATGTACATGCCCTTGACAGGAATCGAACCTGGGACCTTTCAGTCCGCAGACCGACGCTCTACCACTGAGCCAAACTGGTTTCGGCTACATAATTATTTTCATTTCAATGTTTAGCTCTGAAGAGAGCTAAAAGACATTCTGGGGGAGGTATACATCTTAAGCATTAAGTGTTTCAGTAAAAGGAGCATATTCATTAGGGCTTCATAATAAAACTTATATTTTAAAAAATAACAGTCATAAGCTAAGGAGAAACATGTCCTCTGGCTTCCCCATCAGGTCTCTCCACAAGTAGGCCTGGGGCCTAACAGTAGACAAAGGATTACTAAGAGGCAGTATAGCTAGCAGCTGACAGAATAGACATCCCATCCCCCAAAGGCCACCTATTCAAATCTCAGCTTTTAGCTGTGTGACTTTGGAGAAGTTCATTGCCTCAGTTTCCTTACCTACTGGGTGATGATTGTGGAAATACAGTTTATCAGGGAAGACTGATAAGTGAGTAAGGCTTACAGCAGGTTTATACTGTCCACCTGTTTGGGGAGTTAGTGGCTCTCCGAAACTAAATCAGCAAAGAATGCCTTCTTCCTGCACAGAAATTCAGTACTGAAAACCTGAGAAGCATACCCTTAAATACAAAAAGCTCCACCTACCAAATCCTCTCCTCTTGCACACAAAACAGAAAACACACAGGGCCTTCTCTTCTAGCAGCCAGACACTTTCCATGAAATGCTTTACACTACAAGCAGAAATGCAGCCCCTTGTCAAGGACTAGGGCTGTATACTGGATTAACTTTGCCTGAGATGTCCCAGTAACTGAATGAGTCATTCACTTCTTCAGCAACAGTAAAATGTCAAGGTAGTCAACCGCAGCCCCAGATGTTTGCATAAATCATTTCCAAGTGATCAAACTAAACCCCAAATACCTTATTCAAGATAACACTTTAAGTTAAATATATCAGTTTTTATGGTTTTTCCTGTAATGAAGACAATTTTGAAAATAATGTTACTGGGAGTAGGGGTAGGGAGGAATTACAGTAAAATGAGCCCCAAAATTATTAAACAGAATATTAAACAAGGCCTAAAATTTCTCTTTTTGCTCTTGCTTCACAGGGTGTATCCTTTTCAAAACTTTTTTTCCAATCTTAACAAGCACTAAACAAACTCTAAACTCAAGATTTAAAGATACCCCATGATATCTCACTATGTTTTTCCCTACCAGACAACTGTACTTGAAACAGAAGCTTTAACAGTTTTTGATACATCTGTTTATAACAAGGTTTTCACTACCTCACACCTGCAAAATATTTTGAGTGTTCTAAACCGATGGTAGCATCCACATGGAGGTCTCCTTTCACTTCTATAATAAATCAGGTAAAGTCAGTAGTTTAATTTCAAATTAAGTCAAGCCTTTTGCTCTAACATATCAAGAGAACAAATGACAAGAAGGTTCTTTGGTCCTTTAAATTGTTTCACACACACACACACACACACACACACACACACACAAACACATCAACTTGCTCTTCTACGTCTCTCTATCCCTGAGTAGTTGTCAGATCAGTTTCTCGGGTTCATTCATTACAGGGGACACCACACAATACCCAGTTCAAGGAAAGCTTCCTTAGTGTGCCGGTCATTGGCAATTAACCAGAAATGAAAACACACGCGGCGGCGCGGCATCCTTTTTACAGCTGTCTGCCTCCGTTTGCTTATTCTTAGCAACTTTTTAAATAAGAGGCTTTAGAAGCGCCGTTTCCCCCCCATTCGTTTTGGCAATCCGACCACCGGGCACAGGGCTGAGCGCCCCACAGCTTCCGGCTGGAGTATGACACGCGCTTCCCCACTAAGGCTCCAACTGTCAGCTCCACACCAACCCGGGTAACAGCTGAAGCATGACGACACTCACATCAACCCTGCAGGTTTCACCTCTAGGAGGACTTGCAACACCAAATAAACTTTTGTTTATTTCCAGAGTGGGGGAAAAAAAAAAAAAAAAAAAAACGCCTCGCAGATGGGGTCTGTTTGATTCATTTCCGCGACTGGGCCTGTGCAGCTTTAACCCGGTGTGGGCCGAGGGGCTGCCCCGCAGCGCCGCGCCCGTCCCCCGGGCAGCAGGTGCCCGCGGCCAGCCTCACCGGCCCGGGTGCCAGGCTGGGACCCGGCCACTTCCCCGGCGCGCGATCCTGGCCAGGGCGCGCCGCCCGCCACTTTGTGAACTCGGCGCCGCCGGCGGGGAGAGCAGGCTCTCCGCCATCCCTACGCGGTCAGGACGGGCTCGCGGAGTCTTCCTCCCGGTCGGGCTCGCCCAGCCCCCGGGGGATGGGGGTGGGGATGGGGGTGGGGATGGGGGTGGGGGCTCGGGGTCCTCCGGGACAGGCAGAGGTGGGAGGGCCGGGAGCAGCGGGTAACGACGCCCCCCTCTCCCGCCCGCCATCTGGAGCTGGGCACCCCCGGACGGAGCTGGCTTACCTGGGGGAAGGAGCCCTCGCGGCGCTGGCCCTTGGGGTAGTCCAAGTGACCCCGGTCCAGCATCAGGTAGAGCGAGAAGATGACCACACAGAAGATCGCGCTGCCGAACACGGTGAACTGGCGGCTCAACTTCATCTTCCCCCGACGACGGGCTCGGGGCCGGGACACCGTCTTCGCCCCCAAGGAGCCGGACTGTGGGGGGCGCTAGGAAGCGGCCGCCGCCGGAGGTCCCCCGCTGGCCAAGCTGCGCTCTCCTCGCTCTCTATCGCCGCCGATGCGGCTCCCCACCACGCTCCGCTCCGCACCTTCTCTCCGGCGCCGCCGCGCGCCCTCGGCCTTTGCCCCGGCCCCGCCGCCCTCCCTAGGGCGTTGCTTCCCCGCGCGGGACCCGCCTCCGGCCCCGGAAAGGCCCCGGAAAACTTAAATCGCGAGCTCCGTGGCCCGGGGCGCCCGGCGGGCCGAGCGGGGCAGGCGCTGGGGAGAGAGAGAGAGAGAGAGAGGTCGCCGCTCGGACTTCCTGCCTCGCCCGCCCGCCGAGTCCGCAGGAAAAAAGTTTTCTCTGCAAAGGGCAGGCGTGTCCTCCTCGCCCCGAAGGTGTGGGTTCGGCTGTCCCGGGGGCCGATGGCGCGGAGCTGGGTCCCCCGAGCCGAGGGGGTAAAGCTTCGGGTCGGGAGGAGCCCGGCCCCACAACTTAGGCACCGGGACAACCGGTCCCGCCTCCGCGGCACCGCCCCCGCCGCCCTACACGGAGCCCCTTCCTGCTGCAACCGCCGCCGCCGCCGCAGCTGAGGTCGGGTCGGGTCGGGGAAGCCACGGGGTGAGAGGACGCAAGAATCCGGCAGGAGTTGCCCCCGATCCCCAGCGGGCGCCCACCCGCCGGCCTATCCCGCCCCCCGCCGCCCCTTCCTCTCCGCTCCCCAACGAAGGGCTGCGAGGAGAGGGCGTCGGGGGCGGGCGGCGGCGGCGGCGGTAGCGCGCGGAGGAGGAGGAGGAGGAGGAGGAAAAGGAGAGCAAGGAGAGGACTATCCCCGGAGAGAAGCCCGATCCCGCTCCAGCTGCAGCCGCAAGTCCCCTCCTTGCTTCCTGCTCCGCAAACGTGGAGATGGCGGCGGCGGCAGCTGCGAAAAGGAAGCGCTGGTTTTCCCAGCGCCACTCGGCGTTCCTAACAGCCCGCCACTGAGCAGGAGGAGACGGCGGCGGCGGCGGCGCGGCAGCCGCTGGGTCAATAGGCGCCCGCTGCCCGAGAGCCTGAGCGACGGCCGGCCCCGCCCCTCAGCGACGCGCCGGGATGAGGGGGCGGGGCCATCGGCGTCCAATCACAGCGCGCCTCCCGCCGGGCCCGCCCCGCGCCAACCGCCCCGGCGGGGGGACCTCGGGCAGCTATCTTCAAAAGGAGGCAGCTGTGGGGAGTTCGAGCCCTCGGAGGCCCCCAGGCCCCCGCCGCCCACGTTCTAAAGGGGCTGACATTCCTCCCCAGCACCCCTTCGCTGCTCAGGTTTCCCGTCCTTGAAGATCCGGCCTTGGCGTGCCTGGGACGGGAACTGTAGGAAAAGGGAGAGAAATGAGTTTCGAATTTTGTTCAGACTCATCTTTTCTTCCCTTCACTTTTGGTGACCTCCTGGTGAGACCTGAGGGAAAGAAGCAGCCTGCCCCAAAGCACGCTCCCTCCCGGCGGGTGTAGGCCTCTGGCCGCAGAACAGATGAGGGGACCCCAAGGAGTGACGCCTAGAACCAGTTATTGATTTATTGCCTTCAACTCCCAATACACCCTTTTTTGACTGTGCTGTGAAAGTGCATCTGGGCCTTTTAAAGTAAGTTTCCCTCTGCCAGCAAAGGCGGAAGCGGTGTCAGTAGAGGGTGCTGAAGTGCCAACACAGGAAAGAAGTGCTGGGAGGCGGTGTTTGGTGTATGGGTAGGCAAACTCTTGCAGCACACCAGACTGTCTCTACAGCCAAGCCAGCAGTGTTCTCCCATGTCCCCAACTCTAGTGTTTTTGCAGTGTCTAACGTGAGACTCCAACTCGTGAAACCAGTGCTGGTGAGAAAGGAAAGCAATCTACTCAAGTGTCGGCTGCCTGAGAAGATGTCAAGGCCCTGTCTCAAAGGCCATCCTAACATTTCAGTGCAGAGAGGGGTTTTTATAAGAAGGGAAAGGGAAACCAGAACAAAGATCAAGGACAGGGGGGTTGGAAAGTTCTCTGTGTGCAGACCAGCGTAGTCCGTTCTGACAGGGGCCTTGAAACTGGTCACGTGATGGTCTGGTGAGCATCATCCTGGTTTTGTAATCCTGGTGTTATCATTGAAGGTCAGAATTCTAGAGCTGGGATGACTGAAGCTCGGTCGGAGTCTGTGTCTTCTAAAGTTAGTTCCTAGGATTCCTATACAAACAGACATTCTGTTTATCTATAAGCTACGTATTCATCAGAGTCAGCATTTACAGAAACAAGGTCAAAAGAACAGTGGGTTATAATTTCCCACTGTGACAACACTACCCCATGAAGAGCTTTCCAGGCATACTAGAGACAAGCTTTGAAGCAAGTTCCAGAGGGCAGATTTTCAACAAATTCTGCGGGTGTGACACCTTAGTGAGTTCTCTGCCATTCAGTGAACCAGGCTGTTCCCTTTCCAATCAAGGCTGGTTCTTAGCCTGGGAGGGACTGGGGGAGTTCTTTGGGATCTCTCTCTCTCTCTCTCTCTCTCTCTCTCTCCCTCCCTCCCTCCCTCCCTCCCTCCCTCTCTCTCTCTCTCAGATCAAAGATTAGTTTAAGGTTAGCTCCTTGTAGCTGTTTTTATATTTTCTATGGTTCTTTTTTCACTAGTGAGTCCCTCATTACTCTAATCCCCTGTTATAGTTAATAATTATTTGTATTAAGCTTTTTATTTTTATTACACTTTACCTGTAGCCACTAGCTTGTTTGTTTGATTGAAGGAAACTTGGACTCAATGATGACCAGGAGTTTGTGAGGTTGAGATATTAGAGCTTCCTGATATAATGTGGAACAGGGAATCCAAAGGCTTTGGGAAATGTTATACTGGACTTATCATATTCAAACTGCATATCTATTGCCCATCTGTTCCATGCAAAGGTCTATAAGGCATTCCCTTCACTGAAGAATGAGAAATTAGTGAAGGAAAGATATGCACCTTTGAAAATTTCTGTGATGTTCCCCTCTCTCGGCCATTTATGACTATAGAAGATGCAATTACTGAGATGGGCTCCTTCATTTCAATGGGAATGACAGGATCCAGAATAGTGACAGTACATTGCAGACAAGGAAATACACAGATTTTTTAAGGTTTACTAGACACTGTCTCTGAATTGATGCTAATTCCTGGTTCTGTTAGTTCAGTTGATTCACATAGCTATTTTCTCAGTTCTATAACTGACAATATCCCAACATTAACTTTCTTACCCATGGGTTGAGGTCCATTACAATACAAAGAACTAAGTGGAAGCTCCAGGACCTTTCACTTCCTTGCAAGATAGAAAAACAGAAGCAATTAATGCCTCCATAAAAGACTTACCGTATTTTCTGGCCAGTGCAGAAGTCATAAATATCTTAGAGGTAGCTGTGGACTATTATAAACTTAATCAGGAGGTAATTCCATTTGCAGCTGCTATTTCAAATGCAGTATTTTTATTGGAACACAGCACCTGGCAATTGTTATATAGCTATTGACTTGGCTAATGGTATCTTTTTCATACTTATTTATAAAAACCACAAGAACATGTTGGATTTTACCTAATAGGGTCAACAGTGTACCTTCAGAGTATTTCCTCAGTGGTATAATTAGTTATCCTTAATATCATCTACATGTTAATTGTCTTGACATTCAGCAAAACACCACATCAGTTCATCTTGGTTGTTCATAACAACAACATTGTGCTGATTGAATCTGAGAAGCAGGAAATAGCAAGGATTTTAGATGCCTTGGTAAGATATATTTGAACTAGAAGGCAGAAAATAATAACCATGAATATTTTGTGACAACTGTTAAGTGGTCCTGGCAAAGCCCACACCTCAGGAATGGGATAAGTTCAAGATGGTACACACAATATAGGGAAATAGCCACTGAGAGAGGAATACAAGCAAATGGTGTGGGTTAGAAATAATGAAAATGGGTAAGAAGAGTGAAGCGATTGACACACATTGGTCATACCAATCATGTGGCTATGCTAGGGAAGCAACAATCCAGATCATAGTAAAGGAACACCCTACACTCAGGGAAGTCAGAAGTTGGGGGAAGAATTATTTTCTCCTTTTTGCTCTTTAGGACACTTAACCTGACCTGGCATCACAGAATGCTTTAGTAGCTATGAATCCCCATTTTTAACTTAAATCCTAAATCTTTAGGACTTGAAATCTTACTCCTTAGATCTTAAACTAAAGACTGTTGACCTTACAAGATGACAACAAGTTTAATTTTCTGGACATTAATATGTCCCCCTAGCCTAATATTATTGTCAGTTCCTGTGGTCTCTCTCTACCATCTAAGAAAAAAACAAACTTTTCTTAGATCATAACTACTCCCTGAATTTAATTGATTGCTGTGTCTATCACTCCCTGCTGACCCTACTAACGAAAACTTAACAATTGTTCCTTTGAACACTGAAGAATCAAACATTGACCCCCCCAGTCAGAAAAATGCTGTTGCTGAAGTCACTACAAATCTATTAGCATAATACAGTTCACCTGGGGCCATCATACTATAATGGCAAGGCTAGTTGGCTCCAATAGGCAGATTGTTCCTTCCAAAGCACTCCAACCTGCTATGCAGAAATTGTTTAGTTCCTATAAAGGAGTTTGTCCATCACAAGGGACACAAAACTGACTCACTCCTTGTTGTAATAAATGACACAATACCGCTAATACAGTTTATGCCCCCAATAGGATACTACTTGTTATGTGGACGTCAGGCCTATACTTGTCTGACAAACAAAACAGTCTAAACTCCCTGATGCAAGTAATCATAGTCACATTGCACCAGGCTTCCTGCTGGCCAGTCAGGGTAGAATATATTTAAATACCAATGCCTGTTGCTGCACTCATGTTAATGAATCAGGGAAGATGGAGCAATCCATTTCCTACCTTAGAAAGGAAGTAGTGTGGCTCTCTAAGGTCAACCGCAGCAGCA